CAAGGTAGGGAGATGGGAGAGGCAGGTGACAGAGACAAGAGGTGGAGAAGGGGACAGAGGTGGGGACAAGGCTGCGAGATGGGGCAGGGGAGAGGGTACATAAAGCAGGGGTGGGAGATGTGGAAGGCAATAAATAGGAACAGGAGCTGGGGACAAGGAATGGAAAACAGGGATAAGAGATTGGAGCCAGGGACAGGATGGAGGCACCAGGGGAATGGGGTACAGGGGTTGTGCAGGTATCTGTGGGCAGGAGTGATGCAGGAGGATTGCTGTTCCCAGGAGGGCTGTGTGTGTCCCAAGGAATCAGGGATGTCCCACAGGCTTGAGGACCCTTGTCCCTTGGGCTGGGAGCTGCTGTGATCCCCACAGATGTGCTCAATGTGCACCCACTGCCTCTGGCACAGCCCCACAGACTGGTCCCTAGCTTGGGTCCCAAGGGGTTGTGGAGTGCTGTGCCAACATTGCACACGTGTGTGCCTGAACATGTGTATGTGGTGACATGTTGAGGGCACATGGATGGGGGCCCACTGTCCCTTCAGCCTTGTTCCCATGTTTGGTGCTCTACCAGTGCCAATGGCTTAATCCCTGTCACTGTGATGGTTCCCAATCACACCCCAGTCTCAAAACCTGTCCCTGCACCCAGATTAGTCTCCATCCCACGGCTGGCACCAATGCCTCTCCCTTATCTGCATCTCCATCCAATTCCACGCACACTTTTCCACTACCCATCAGCAACCTCATCCCCATCCCTTCCACTTTCTACTTTTATCCTTCCCATCCCAAATCCTTTCCATTTCCCCTTCACATTCTCTTTCCCTTCTCCATCCCATTCCCATTACTCCATCCCAGCCTGTCGTTCAGTAACGAGCAGAGCACGCAATGTCAGCACCGAGCCCGGTCGTGTTTAACAGCTGAATTAAAAGCCTGCAAGAAGAGCAGAGTGCCCTCCACCTCCATTTTCCCTCTTCGCCCTCATCCCATCCTCTTCCCTCCCCTTCCACCCCCCCCCTCCCCCCCCCCAAAAAAAGCACCCATCCTCCATCCCTCCCTTCGGACCTCCCCGCCGCGTGGGGGCGCTGTGCGGCGGTTCGGTGCAGCCATGGCGGCGCTGTGTGCTGCTCTGCTGGCGCCGCTGCTGGCGCTGAGCCGGGCCGGGCCGGGACCGGCGGCGTCCGCCCACGTGGAAGTGGCCGTGTCGGGGCCGGGGGACGCGGCAGGGGACGGCGGCGGGACGGCGGCGGGTCCCGGCGGCTCCTACACGCTGCACGGGGCTCTGCTGGGAGGCGGGAGCGGGCCGGGCCGCGGGGAGCCGCGGGAAGAGGAAATCGGGGGGAGGCTGGTGCTGGTGAGCTGGGGGAACGGGGGGTGGGAAGGTGTTTGGGGTCGGTATGGGGAACTGGGAGTGCTGGGGGTGAGTTGGAACCGGGGGGGAGGTGGGACTTGTGTGAGCTCTGGGATTGGGGTTAGCGGGGTGAGATGGAGCTGGGGTATAAAGGGGAGCACTGGGAGCGTTTGGAGCGGTGGGGAGGGGGCGTGGATGGGGGCAGCTGGGGATGCGATGTCAGCACGTCCCCTCTGTGTGCCCCCCTCACCCTGCCTGCTGCCCAGCTGCCTTGGAACGCCGTGTGTCCCCGACCTGTCCGTGTGTCCCCGACCTGTCCGTGTGTCCCGACCTGTCCGTGTGTCCTGACCTATCCGTGTGTCCAGGTGGGAGATGCGGAGCCGGAGCTGGGTGCTGCTGACAGCTGGATCGGGGTGGTGCCCGTGGGTGAGGAGCCGGCAGACAGCCCCCGCAGTGCCAAGGAGGAGTCCTTCACTGCTGCTGTGGTCAGCAAGGTGAGAGGCTCCGTCAGCAACAGCCCACAGACACCTCCTGGGGCGCTCAGCAGGGATGTGGGCAGTGCCAACCCGTTGTGCTGAGCCTTCTGTCCCTGCAGATGAAGCGAGCCCTGGTGCTGGGGGCCTCAGCCCTGCTCATCCTGGCACTGAACCAGAATGCGATCCGAGAGGTAGGAGAGCCCTGCAGTCCTACTAGCACTCTGGGTGCCCTCCTGCCCCACTCACAGCTGTTGCTTTTCTGTCTGGTGCAGCTGGATGTCTCCCAGCTCCTTGCCAAGCCCGTCATCGTGATCCAGTCCTCGGACAATGTCACCAGGCTGCTGGGAGCACTGCTGCGGTGAGCGTTCCCTTGCAGCAGTCTGGTTTGTGCAGTGGGCAGCAGAGCACAGCCAGCACTCGTGCAATGTGGGGAGGTAGAAGGGGCTCGGAAGGTGCCTGGCACGCTCAGCTTGGCATGGGAGCAGGGGCATCTGTGGTGGCTTCACTGATTGGGAAACAGGCACAGAGCAGTGATCTCTGTGTAGTTGCTGAGAGAACTGGGTGGAAGATGTCACTGCCATTTCCTCCTCGTGTCCCTCTGTCCTTGTACACGTCTCAGGAGTGGCCTCCCTCAGTGTGCCCCCGTGCCTGGCAGGAATAGGGCTGCTGGGTGCTGGGGATGCTGCATGTGGCTGATGCTCTTTGTGCCTCTTGCTCGTAGAGGACTGCGGGCTACAGCGAAGATCACATACCAGGCGGTGCTGCTGGAGAACCTGGTATGTAAGTCCTCCATCTCCTCTGTTTGGGTATGAGGACAGGGGCATGGCCATGCCCAGCAGTGGGGAAACCTGCAAGGAGCAGGAGCCAGGTCTGCAAGGGCTGCTGGTGTCTCTCAGTCCTGTCCCTTGTGCTGCAACACGCTGTCGTGGTGACGTGGTGTCCTGCCTTGCAGGGGGTGACACTCACCCTGTGGTCCACCTGCGGCCTGTCCCGAGGGGGCCTCTATGGTGAATGGCAGGGTGTCATCTGCACGGGGGAGAACAGCTCACAGGTCCAGGTGTGTCACACATGTCCCCATGGCCACTCCTCAGTGTCACCACAGCTGGGGGTGTCCCAGCATCCTCAGCTGGGGATGAGGCTGAGGATGAAGCGAGGGTCTCCCTCTCGCCCCCTGAGCGCCTGGTGGTGCTGTCCCTGCAGAAGTACCTGCAGCAGCTGTGGAACACCATCCTGCTCGTCGCTCTGCTCCTCTGCACGGGGGTGATCGTGCAGGCACAGCGGCAGTCACGGCAAGGCCTGTCGGAGCGGGATGCTGAGGTGGGACGTGGGGGAGTGGGGGCTGTTTTGTTTGGAGGAGAGGAGGATGAAGGGAGACCTGGTTGTTCTCTGCAACTTCCTGAAAGGAGGTTGCGGCAAGGAGGGCGTTGGTTTCTTTTTCTCACGTGAAGTGTAGATGGGATGTGAGGCAATGGGCTCGGATTGCACCAGGGGAGGTTTAGGTTGGATGCGAGGATAAATTTATTCACAAAAAGGGTGGTGGGGTGTGGGAAGGGCTGCCCAGGGAGGTGGCAGTCACTATCTTTTGGAGATACTGAAAGTATTTGGTAGGTATTTAAGAGATGTGTGGACATAGCACTTAAGGACATAGCTGAGTGTTGGAACTGTAGTGTTAGTCGACGGACTTGATGTTCTAATGGATCTTTTCCAACTAACGTGATTCTGTGCTCCTCTCATTTCGCCTCACCTCCCGCTCTGCTCTCCAGCTGGACCTGAAGCAGCACATTCGGCGGCGGCTGTTGGCCCTGAAGACCCGGCGGTACAATCCTGGCAAGGCGCTGCGGAGCCGGGCCTGTGAGATAGACAGCTGTGCTGTGTGCCTGGACCAGTTCAGCAAGAGCCAGGTCAGACTGGTGGGGTTGGTCCCAGTGACGATTTGGGGCCACGCATGCTAATGCCACCCCTTCGCTCTGTTCCGTGGGGCTGAAACTTCTCGTGCTTTATCAGGGCAGGGGTGTCCTCGTGAGAGGGACGTGTGGTTGGGGACTGCCCCCCCTCTGCAGGCAGGGGACAGATTGCTGTGCTCCTCATGGCTCACGTGTCCCACCTGCTTCTCTCCCTGCAGTGGCTGCGTGTGCTGCCATGTTCCCACGAGTTTCACCGGGACTGTGTGGACCCCTGGCTCCTCCTGCAGCAGACCTGCCCACTCTGCAAGCATAACATCCTAGGTGAGAGCAGCTCTGGGACTGGGGGATCCTAAGTGGCTCCCATGCATCCTGCACCCCAGCTCACCCTCTGGAGAGCATGTTCATGCCAGGGCGAGGGCTGGGGAGGAAGTGGTGCCAGCCACAGTCTGCTCTGCTCTTATGATCCCTGTGTGACACCTCTCTATCCTTCTCCCTTGCAGGGAACTGCTGTGGAGAGAGCTAGTCGGCCCAATGGACATGCTCCAGGGACAGACGGACCCATGGCTGCTCTGGGAAGAGCTGGGGAAGAACAGGGCAGGCGTGGGGTGAGCTGTGCTTGGAACTGGAGCAAGGCTCAGCGCAGCCGTGCCCTTTGCAGCACCAGGCAGTGCCTGGCCCTTAGGAGAGTGAAGACTTTGGGGGGTTCTCCCTGGTTGGTGTGAGTTGAGGGGCCAGGGGCATGGCTGGGCATTAGCCAAATGGCTGGGGGATGGGTGCCGCGGAAAGCACTCATGGGTATAACTGGGGAGGGGCCACTGAGGCTGTTGGCAGAGTCTGCAGGCACTGAAGGGAAGAGCGCAGGTCTGGCTGTTCCCTCTCCCTGCTCATCATTTTTTCTAAGTCTTTTCTATTTGCCTGTGGCTGCAACAGGTGGGCAGCACCAGGCTGGAAGCCTGCCTGCACCTGGGGCTCTGCCATAGCTGAGGGACGGGTGGGGGAGGGGGGGAGGATGGATCACCTTATTTATACTAACTTATTAGAAAGGACAGTACGAGTTAGCTGAACACAGAGTGCTCGGGGACTCGCTGTGAGCCTGTAAGGGCTCTTGTTCCATGTGGCAGCTGGAGCTGCAGCACTACTTGTGGCCGTTGCTATTAAATACAGAGCTCAGAGAGGCTGCTGTGTCTTGTGTTGTGTGGTTCTTGGCCCTGCTGAGCACTTTTCCCTGGCACGAGAGTGCTTTCCAGGCTGTAGCCTATGCTGGCAAGTTAAGCCTGTGAGTTCTCTTCAAAGCAGCATAGCTGCCTCCTGGGAACAGCTCCTTGGGCTGAGCCTCGCCTCGCTGTGCTTAGGCATTGTGTGGATGCCTCTGAGTTGGTCAGGATCAGAGCCATGCCAAGGATTGCAGCAGCAGCTGAGCTACAGGCAGCTGAACTCCAGTACCCAGGAATGCCACCAGCCCTGCTCTGCTCGTTGTTCTGAGCCATCTCCGCATACTGAAAATTTCCCCCCAAGCCTCCTTGCCTGAATGCTGGTCCTCTCACTGCCAGCAGTGCTTGTACCTGACCCATTCCAGTCACCACTCTACAGTGGTGCTGGGGCTGCTGTGCTGTGGGAGACAGGAGGGGAACACAGCAGCCCAACCCATGCACCCCACTGCCCTGTACTTCACATTGCTCAACAGAGGGCCAGTAGGGGAAGCTGCGCAGACAGGTTTATTGCAGCCACCATCTTGCAGCAAACAAGGTGAAGCAACAGCTGGTGGCTGGCTGTTAGCCGAGCCTTCTTTCAGCCTCCCAGCTGCTGTGGAACCACTGCCCATGAGTGTTACACCCACTCAGCAACACTGTTCCTTGGGCACAGAGCAATAGGCAGGCAGACCGAGTTTCCCAAGGGAATGTACCTTCATGTTTGCAACAGGTAATGAGGTCTTGCAGGGATAAAGGGAGTAGCTGTGTGCTGCTCATTAATGTTTCACCTCTTCCTCAGTCACCCAAGCAGCTATTTGCGGTGCAAAAAGTGGTGTGCTCTGGTTGTACTGCTGCTCCCTCTGGGCTTGTGGGGAGCCAGTGCCAAGCCCTTCTCTGGCAGCGTGATGCAGGCTCTGGCCTCACGTGCAGGTTCTGCTGGGAGCAGCTTATGTTGCTGGCTGCCCACAGGTCGCTGCCGGGCCTTGCTGGTGGCTTTTTGTGATCCTGTGCCATCTCCGCTGCCTTGGCTGCTCGGAGGTCTGTGGAGGGGAGAAGTGGAAGAGGTTGAAGGGGAGTAAGAAGTGGAAGCCCCCCCAGCGCTGTCCTCTGTGCTCCCACTCACCCTGCAGCCTCCCCTCCGCGCTGACTGCTGAGCTGAGTCCACAGCTGGGTCTGTGGGATGTGCTGGGGAAGAGAGAGGAGGTGAAGCTCCTGTGTTTGGCTCTGTGATTGCTTATCTTGGCTTCTGCCATGGGTGGATTTCACTGCTGAGCAGGTAGTGGCGAAACGGAGGCACAGCAGCCATAGGGGCTGATGTAAGGAATCTGGGAACCAGCCCCGGGCACCTCAGCAAAGCAGCTTAGTGCTGCTGGTTCAACCAGACCGATCTCTGGAGAGACACCACAGAACCAGGGAGCTGGGCTTTGTCCACAAGAAGCAGATCCAGAGCCACAGGCAATGCTGCACAAGGAGCACCACAGCCTTCCTCTCCTGGGAGTCTTTTTTTTTACCTCCTGTATGGGTACGGCCAAGGAACCGATCCCCAGGGGTTGTGGGACAGGGTTTGCAGGGTGGCCCTGGGGCACACAGTGTACCCCATCCCGCCAGCCCCCCCAGCTCACCTGCAGCACACCCTGCTGAGCAGCTGCCTTCACCTTGGCCAGCGCAGCCCTGAGCCTCGTGTTCTCCTGCTCCAGGACACCAATCCTGATGTGGTTGGCCTGCAGCTGCTTCTCCATGTCTTCGGTGATGTTCCCAGTGCCTGCAAATGAAACATGGCACTTCATGTCAATCACGAGCTCAACACACTACCAGCACAGAGGTGCTGGGAGCAGAGCCTGTCCCTGCTCCCTGGGACCACTTGCTTTTCTGTCCTCCCTTTTGAGCAAGGCGGTAGCTGCTGGAAATGAACATTCCTGATCTGGAGAACAACAGCACGACCCTGGAAGTGGCAGCTGGGACCCCAATCTGTCATTTGAAACAGCAAGGACAAATACAGCCATGTCCAAGTCCTTGCCCTGCTTTTGTGCCAGATGTGGGACACAGCACCCACATAAAGAATCAGGTTAAGATGGTAGCGGCTTAGTGCCTCACAGGGACTGAGCCCTTCCTGGCTGCAACTGACTCATGTCAGGAGGACAGACTGTTACACAAGTGACACCAATGTGCCCAGGGCTGACAGGATCCCGCGTGAGCTCCAGGAGACCCCAGAGGTACAAGCTTGCTGCTGCAAAAACAGGCACTGCTGCCTGCTGCCCTGTGCCTTACTCTCAAACTGTGTCTCAACGGGGATGTGGAGCTCAGGGAAGAACACCAGGAGTTTCTCCCGCTCCTTCAGCTCCTTTGTCTGCTCCTCCAGCCCAGAGACATTCTCCCGTAGCTTGGAGATGGACTGCTCCAGGCTCAGCTTCTCCTGCTGCAACGTGTCCAGCAACTCCTGTGGGGCCACAGCAGACAGGTGAGTTTTGGGAGCATCTTCCCAAACCTCATGGAACAGTCTGGGGAAGCCTGTCCTTAATGGGATAAGGATATCCCCAAACAGAGGGACAACGTAGTCTTAGATGTAATGACCTCTGTGTGTCTGAAGCACAGGCTGCTTCAAGCAACCATGAAATGAATTTGAGAAAGAAGGGTCACTACATGGAAGTGGCCCTGTGGCAATGTCAAATTAGCTGTCAGAGCCACTGTCCTGGGGAGAATTGCCCACAAGTGTGAGATGGGGCAGGGTGGCTCCTGGGAGCCCTGTGGCACAGCTGTGTCCTGTCCTGGCTGCTCCCCCTGACAAATGCTGGGTACCTGCTGCACCCGTAGCTGGTGCATGCTCTGCTCCTTCTGCTTCTGGCTCTCCTGCAGCTGCTCTGCCATCCGGGCTCTGTCCTCCTCAGCCTCCCCCAGGCTAGCTTGCAGCTCCTCACGCTCCTGGTCCAGGCTGTCCAGCTGCTGCAGCAGGGTGTTCTGCTTGGCCTGCAGAGACTGTGCAGGGAGGTGAGCCTGCCGGAGGCTGCTGCTGCCCTGATGCCAGTGCCAGGGCCATGGAGAAGCAGCACTCATGGCAGTGAGAGGTTGTGGTCACAATTGGACAGCTCCAAAGAGCTCTGTTCATACCTTCTCATGCCTCAGTGTGCTCTCCACTTTGGCCTTCTCCTTCTCCAGCTGGGTTGTGACTGCACTCAGCTCCTGGCCCAGGCTGTTCCGCTGGCTGGTGAGCAGCTGCACCTCCTCCTCCAGCTCCAGCACCCGGCTCCTGGCCACCATTGCAGTCTTCAAGTCCTCCAGCAAAGTTTGCTTGGTTGCCTCTGGGGAGGCACAGCAACTGTGGCACAGGCTGGGCAGGATGGGGAGATGCTCTCAAGCCAGGAGGTGTCTTTAGGGGCCCTACAGCCTCTGCAAATGCTGACGAGGGCTGGCAGCAGGGCTCTTGGTGTCCCAGGGATCCCCAAATCTCCAGTACCAGTGCCAACCCACCCTGGTGCTGGATGATGTTTGGGCACTGCAATGAGGAGGTCATGTCATCCTTCCATTCCCACTAGGTCTAACCCCAACAGATTCTGGGAAAGCCAGGAGTTACATGGGTGAAAAAGAGTGTGTGATCAGAGCCAGACTCAGGGAGAGATGTGCCAACTGGATGAGCACCCCAGGTCCTTACCCAGCTCCTGCACAGCAGCCTGCTTCGTGGCCAATGCTTCCTTTAGGGTAGAGATTTGCTCTTCCAGCAGAGCAGCTCCTAAATCAGCACAAAAGACTACTAAGCATTAAACATTTCCTCAAAGAAATTAAGATAAAGAGGCAGCAAACAACTGTGCCAAAGCATTTTTTCACCCAGTAATTGTATCATGCCATGCTTCAGCAGAGAGGAGGCAGTGAGATGATGAGGGCAAGCAGCTCCCACTGCTGGAGGTTAGCCTCACAGCAGGGAACAACTGCCAATATGTGAGATGCTGCAGAGATGTGACACAGAGAACATGTGGAGTTTGCAGTGGTGGAAAATGAGATGATGGGAATAGAGAAGCAGCAGAAGAAGCTGGGAGATGATGAGGGCATTAGGAAAGGCAGTGATGCCAGTGGAGCAGCCGTCATCTACTCCGGGAGCTGCTGTCAATGCATGGATAAAAGGCAGGTATGGCCAGGTAAACCCACAGCATGGCTCATCCCCTTGTCTCAGCCATGTAAGACATCTGAAAACTATGTAGTGACCCTACAGGGAACGTTTTCTCACCACTGATGCAGGACCTACCAACACTAGTGTCCAAAGCCCTGCTCGTGGTGGTGGAACCAAGATTTGACTGCAGTCTGCCTCCTTCTGCAAATACCCCCAGGCCTGGGAGGGGATGTAGGGGACAGCAGACAGCACTGTACCTCTCCGTAGATCATCCTTGTCCTGCTCCAGCCTTGCTACAGCCTCCAAATGCTCTTTTTTCTTTACTTCTAGGCTCTGTTCAGCCTCCTTCCTCTGCCGTGCTTGGGTCTCCTTCTCCACCTGAAGCAGCCGAGCAAAGTCCTCCACCTGCTTCTGCAGCTCATCCTTCTCCTTCTTTGACTCTGCCAGCTCAGACTTCAGAGGGTTGAGCTGTTCCAGCAGAGTGTGGAGGTGTTTGCTGATGCATGAGAGATCTTTGCTTTGCTCCGAGACCCAGTAGCTCACATCAGTTGCAGAGAGGATCCTTCTCTCCTCAGTGCCCTCCACCACCTCCTGGAACCTGCTCAGAGCCGAGGGGATGTTCTGGCTCTGGCAGACGCTAATGATGGCTTTGCTGACCTCTTGAAAGCCAGCCTGGAAGCTGTCACAGGTGTCACACGGTGCTGGAGGCTCTGCTGCCTGCGTGTGGATGCTGTGGCTGCGCTCAGCAGTGCTGCAGGCAGACCTGGGCTGGGAGCTGCCTGAGGTGTTGCTGACAGCCTGCCACAGGGAGCTGGGCTGGGCAGCACCTGGGGGTGTGCTTGGCTCTGAAGTAGATGGCAAGCAGTCCTTCAAGCATTCCTTTGCAGTTCTTTCAGCCTCAGAGGTGGATTGCAGTGCAGCGATATCCTTCCTGCAAGTCTTCTTCTGGTGAAAAGAGCACAGGACACAAACATAGAGCCCAGCCTGAACCTCATCATCAGCAAACAATTAAAGAGAGCTGAATGCAGAGCTATGAAGGATGGGGACAGGACATGAGTGTAGCCAAGAAGCTACAAGGTCAGAGCATGCACTCTCAAGAGCTTGCTGGAGTACAGATCTACCAAGCGCTCAGGGTTCACTATTTATTATGTTACCATGAAAGCAGGTGGCCTGTCAGCAAAATGATGTTTACACACAGCAAGGGTTACCATTGGTTCTGCCTGACACAAGGGAACTGAATTTCTCAAGCTCCCAGGTAGCTTTCTGGTCACTGCCTGCTAGGTAGCAGAGCTGTGGTTTCACAAAACTTCTGCAGTAGAACTTCCTCACTGGCTCTTGTTTTTGTTATTTTCCCTTCTGTCACACCTCACTGTACTGTCTCCTGGCTATGTGAGATGAATTATTCTGACACTATGCCACAAGAGGCATCATTTTGAAAATAAAATATAGGGGAGAGGCATGGTATTTTTACCACAGATCATTTCACTGATTTCGGCCAGCTCAGCCCCACACAGTGTGGGTCAGCAGAGCCACAGAGGTAGAACACTGGTAAGATGAGAATATTTTTTCCAAGCAATAAGAGCAGCCAGAAACCCCAGTCTCAAAATCCTGGTGGAAGCCTGGAGGTCACAGTCAGGGAGTGCATCTGGAGCAGCCACCACATGTACCGTGGCATCTCGGAGAAAGACTGCAACATCAGCCCCATGCCATGGGCATGCCTGGCATATCTTCCAAATTGTGTGGCTGTTGAGCCATTGCTGTGAGCCCTGAGCTTGGCTCCAAGTGCCCACGCACCCCTGTATGTCCCACCTCAGTCTGAAGCTGCTGGTAGCAGGCCCCCAGTCGCAGCATGCTGTGCCAGTACCTCCTCACCGTCAGCCCCGCCGACATGCATGGTCCCACTGCCTCCGCTGGGGGCACAGCTCGCTCGCTGAGCAGGTTTTCTGCATAGCCCGTGAAGCTCTGAAGCAGCAGCAGCAGCCTTTGTGGAAATGAAACACAGCTTAGAGGAATAAAATATTTGTTACGGGAAGAGCGCTCTTGGCATTTAACAGAGCAGTGAGCCTGAAAAACCAGCACGGCAGCAAAGGAGGCTGGATTTCAGTGTATGTGTAACCCTCGGGCCTGGAACAAAACTGGGAAGGATTAAATCCCCCTGCATCCCTCCCAGGATGTAGCTCCAAGGAGCTGCAGTTAGACTCTCCATAAAGATGTGGGTCACTCACTCCTGTTACTGAACGCATATTGTTAGGACCAGGCATCCAGAGATAGCTCTGAGGGCATGGCTCATCTTTAAAATTGAGTTGTTTTCATAGAATCATAGAATAGCTTGAGTTGTAAGGGATCCCCACAATCAATACAAGCGGGGGACAAAAGAATTGAGCACAGCTCTGCCAAAAATTACCTGGGGGTACTGGTGGATGGCAGCTGGGCATGAGCCAGCACTGTGCCCTCACAGCCTGAAGTGCCAACCATATCCTGGGCAGCATCCAAAGCAGTGCAGCCAGCAGGGTGAGGAAGGGAATCTGCCCCTCTGCTGTGTGCTGTGAGACCTCACCTGCAGTGCTGCGTCCAGATGGGGAGTGCTAAGTGCAGAAGAGACATGGAGCTGCTGGAGCACGGCCAGAAGAGACTCCAAGGGATCGAGACATTCAAGGCCAGGCTGGACAGGACTCTGAGCACCCTGATCTAGCTGTGGGTGTCCCTGTTCACTGCGGGGAGTTGGACCAGCTGACCTTCCAATGATTTTATGATTCTTTGACCTCAAAGACCACCCAGTTCCAGTCCACTGCCCAAGGTACTTGTCCACATCACACAGGCCAGACATCTTCCCTCCATGGGGAAGGAGCCACTGTGCCCCAGCTGCTTTTTGCAGGGTGCTCTGCCCGCTCACCTGTCTATCACCAGCTCCAACAGCACCACGTGTGCGTGCTGGCTGAACTCGGGGTTGCCCTCGGCGTGGCTGTACCTCTCCAGCAACACCACCAGATCCAGCTCGCAGGACACTTTGTTGGGGAACTTCCAGGAGGGGAAGCGTGCAGGGCCGGTGCGGGAGGAGACGTCGGCGATGGCTCCCTGCAGGTCTCTCAGGTCGGCCTGCAGGCTCGCCATGCAGCCGGGGTGACCCAGGAGGTGTGCCATGCTGCAGGACGAGGCTGGGTGGACAGACAGATGGACAGATGGATGGCCAGTCTCTGCGGGACAAAGGCGAGCAGTGCTAGGAACGGATCGTGGGTGACACCAAAGGGCTGCCAGGGGAATGGAGGGGACAGGTGCTGCGTCCCCAAGGCTGGAAGATTTGGGGTGAGGGGCGCCTGCGGAGGGCAAGCAGCAGCGGCGGGGGCACTGAGGGAGCTGGGACGTCGGAAGGGGCCAACAGGGGACAGGTGAGGCTGCAGGGTCGGCGGCTGGGCCTAGGCCGCGGCGCCGCACCCGCTGCCATGGCAACGCCCCGCCCCGCGATGCGCAGCTCCGCCCGCTGCCCTGCGCCCCACGTGCACGAGCGGAACAACCTTCGGCGCATGCGCGCCGCCCATCTGCCCGCCCCCTTCCTGTTACGGCGCACTGCGTCACTTCCGGCGCGCGTGCGCAGTTCGAAGCGCCCGGCTGCCATTTTGTCAGCGGCGCTGTCCCTTTCGTTGCGGCCTTTACTGAGCGATCCCGAGTAGCGCCATGCCGGCCGGGCCCGTGCAGGCCGGGCCTCCGGCGCAGCCAGCGCCTCCCGCGGAGAGCAAACCGGTAAGAGCTGCGCTGAGGGGAGGCTGGGAGGCTTCGGGCCTGCGCATGGCGCTGCGGGGTTGGCGAGGCCTGCAGCGGCGGCCTGGTCCCTGAGCACGGCGCTGCCCCTCGGCCTCCCGGCTGCCCGCAGCTCTGCGGCATCGCAGCGAGGCGACGCGGCGCTGAGTGACCAGACATCCCTGGGTCTTTTGCTGTTTGGAGGGAGTGGGAACGGATGCTGAAAGGGGTCGTTGTGTCTTTCTCTTAATTTGCTTCGTAGATCATTGAGATTGGCAAAAATCCCTTGGATCCCCAGGTCCAACCCCAGCCCACCCCCACCTGCCCACTGCCCACATCCCTCAGTGCCGCATCTCCACAGTTCTGGAACGCCTCCAGGGATGGTGATCCCAGCACTCCGCGGGCAGCTGTGCCACTGTTGCACCACTCATTTGAAGAAGAAATATTTCCTAATATCCAGCCTGATTAAAAGTTTATTTCTTGAAGCTTTCGCAGAATTAACAAGTGATAACAATCTACCAGGCTTTTAGTGATTATGAAGATGTCACATATGTCTGTTCTGTGAAAGCTGTGCTGTGAGGGAAGGGAGGCACCATCAGAATCCTGCAGAACTGCAGTTGGCTGCACTGAAAGGCAAAGCTGCCACCAGGGGAGGGCATTGAGGCTGTGGTTCAGGTCCTCCAACAACTGCAGAGAGGAAAACACCCTGCTGAGCTCTTCTCAGCTATGAAAAAGTCTTTGAAGCAGCCTTAGTAGGATGGGAAGCTGTGTGTTATTTAATGTTGGCTTGACTGCTTAGATTCCCATTTCTGGTAACCCTGCAGACCATTAGGAATCGTAGAATCATTAAGGTTGGAAACAACTACTGAGATCATCTAGTCCAACTGTCACATCACCCTGCTGTGCCCACTGACCACGTCCCTCTGTGCCACATCCACACGTTTCTTGAAAGCTTCCAGGGGCAGTGACTCCACCATTCCCTGGGCAGCTGTGCCAGTGCAGCACTGCTCTTTCTGAAAACAAATTTCTCCAGATATCCAACTTGCAATGCTCATAACTTCCAGAGCTGTCCAGCAGTGCTGAATTATTCCTAGGTGTGGTGTCATAGGCATGCTTTGCTACGTCTTGGCTCAGCATCTATAAACTTGCACTGGATTGAAGTTGAAAGAGCAGAAACGCTGGGAAGAGTTGTTTGGTTCCCATGGGACAGCCTTCCTGCTTGCCTCGCTGCAGCAGCCCCCGCAGCAGGTGCCCTTGACAGGCTGACAAACACCATCTCCCTGCCTGGGAAGCTGGGGAGTGCTGCTGCCTTGCAGGACTGCAGGTTCAGATTGTTAAAACATATCTTCATGCCAGGAAAATTCAGTGGTTTGGGGACTGAGGAGAACAGGCAGTTCTGTCCACTGCAGGAGTTGGTATTTGAAGTACTTAATTCTTACAGAGCACTCTTTCAGCATGGTATTTCAGAACAACTTACTAAGGTACCTTAGGACTGTTATTCCAGGTGCAGATGAGGAAATTTATAGAGGAAAGTGAATTTTACAACTCAACTCACTGAAAATAAACCCATTCTAAGTTTGAAGACTACCAGGCTGTGCTTTCACAATCTGATGCAGATGTATAATGTGAAATTTGAGATCATTTGTAGTTTCTTTCCTTGTTATCAGGTTAGATTTAGACTGTTTGAATTTACTGTCTGGACTAGTTGCAAACACTGCAGAGTGAAAGGTATCTTCCAGAGATGATGGGGTGGTATTACAGGAATATTCTTGCTACTTAGGAGGTAACAGTACAGAAGACTGTAAGAAAAATGTTTTTATTGCAGCCAGAAGAGGAGCCAAAAGAGGAAGCAGCACCAGCCAAGCCTGTGGTGGGAATTATTTATCCTCCTCCTGAGGTCAGGAATATTGTTGACAAGACTGCCAGCTTCGTAGCCAGGTAAACAGCACGAGTGTTGTCTTGTCTTCTGTGGGATTTTTCTGCTTCTCACCTCCCAGTCCTACTGTCTGTTTGTCTCCAGAGGCTGAAACTGGTCACAGTCCCGCAGCGTTCCATAGAGGTTTCTAAGGATTGAATTTTTACCAGTGATATTGTAGAAAAGAGGCAGCGATTGTCGTCTTAGAGATATAACATGTGCTTTGCTAGAAAAGCTGTGGTAGTAAATAAATTCTTTTTAAAATGACCTGAGGGACAAACAGAGTTCCAAGTGTAAAGGAAGCCTCGTTACTAGCACTTCACTGAATGACTGAGCCAACAGAAGTCATTAATTTATTTTCACTCTATTTTACAATGTGTAGGCAATTACCTCTCTTTTAAGGTATGCTGGATTCCTTGTTGAACCCCAAAGCTCAGTCCCATCCCTACAACTCCATAAAGTGTGCCAGCCTCTGGGGCACACTGATTCAGCTGTCTCTCCCCCTCTATAGCCAAGGGGATAGAAGTGCATGTTGCCAGGGAGAGGTCTAGGGTAGGCAAACTGCCTGTGATGTGCGTGGCATATTTTCCCTTATTGAGTGCAGCAGCAGGTTGATTATCACAAGTATAGATGTCACAGGTAGGGGAGAAGCCTGAAAGTTTGATACGTTTTACTCATTTGGGCTTTTTCCTCCTGTTATCAACATGCAAACACAAGCTGCTGGTGTTAGCCTGGCCATCTTCTTCTATGTTCTTAAAATACTGAAGTATTTCTGGCTGTCTTAATGCTATGTGGGGTATCGAGGGACTGGATCTTTCTGGCAGAGTACATATAGCACAGGAAATAAATTCCTCAGCTGGCTATGTGAATTCTGCTTGGCATCCAGGCAGGCTGGATGCTGTGTGCTTCCACATTGTTAGAATGGATCTGCTGGTTTAAGGCAATTACTAAATGATGGTCTGGTCAAAGACACTTGCTGTGTAACTGATCTCTAAAATGCTGCTGAGGAGCCTGAGCTTGCTTTGAAGATAAGGAAGGAACTTTGTTTATGCTCTGCTATTGTAGAGACATCCTCTTTTGGGAGAGACTTAGTGCCTAAACAAGACCTGAGGGTATGAAGGGAAGCATGCTGCAGCAGGCTTTTAACTTTCTTAATCTCCCCTCAGAAAATAAGTAGCTGTTAACTTCAGGTGGGAGTAGAGGAGCTAGAACTGGCTCTCCTAAATGCAGCAATGGAGCTCTCCAGTGTGGTCCATCTCTGAGCAGGCTGATGATCACCTACCTTTTCCTTAGATGAACTTTCTTGAAATGAAACTAGTCTTAAAAACTTGGTAGTCTAGTAAGGAACTCATAAATATCTTCTATTAAATCATGTCATCCATCCAGTGATGATTGATTTGAATATAGCCAGTGGAACGGGAAGTTTTTAACTGTCCTAAGAAATATTAGCTGTGAAATGCTGAAGACTAAATTAGGTCATGTACACATAACTGGTATGTGTGTGACTGGCTGCTGTGTTGGGTATGAGTTACTTAGAGGTAGGGAGAGGTAAACTTTTTCCACACAGGAGAGAAACTTGTCTGCTGAGAGGCAGATGCATGAACACAGCTTGCTATGGAACAAACGGGCTTTTATGCTTGAGTTGATACCCATTATCTAAACTTATTTTTCCACACTGCAGAAATGGTCCAGAATTTGAAGCTCGAATTCGTCAGAATGAAATAAATAACCCTAAGTTCAATTTCTTGAATCCCAACGATCCTTACCATGCATACTACCGGCACAAAGTCAGCGAGTTCAAGGAGGGCAAAGCACAGGAGCCCTCAGCTGCTATTCCCAAGGTCATGCAACAGCAGCAAACTGCTCAGCAGCAGCTTCCACAGAAGGTAAGTGTTTCTTTTCACTTTGATTGCTTCTCACTAATTGTTTCTCATATCATGATGCTAGGCAGAATGATGAAAGCAGAAAGACAGTGTGAAGGAAGGACTTAATTTATCAATAGTTGCAATAGAGGACGACACACAGGCATGAAATTTAGCATCTGGGACTTTCTTTTGATGGAGATGTGCATCCCCTGGTTGCTGGTAACTAAAAAGTTGTGTGAAAGATCAATAAATTGTATTATTTGGTGCGTTTTGATTATATTTAGTTATGCATTGACTTGTATGGTACTTAAGACTTAGTGTTCACGTGGAGTGTATGAATTTAGGACTACCATACACAATCCTTAAATATCCTTTGGAGTTCAATTCGGGCACGTTGCATACACTGTCTTAGAGATACACTTTTGTTTTGTTTTCTTGTTCTTTCCTGCCAGAAGAATCATCTTCTTGTGAAAATGTGTACAAAATGTTGCTAATCTTGCTTAGTTGTCTTCATAGATATTGGGTGGAAAAAGGATGCTGACTGAGCCTTTTACATGCTTTGCATGATCTTATGCTGTGTGGTATTGACTGAAGGACTGGTAATCGCTGGAGGATTGTAGTGAAGTCCTGATAGCTTGCAGTGTCATTAGCTGTGGGAACAGTGTTTGTTTTAAAGTATACCCAACCACAGAGATAAACCCAGCATTACTGCTTTTCTTCCAGTCCTTGTAGTTGCCAATGACTAACGTTGTTTTCCTTCAGTGGCTGAAGGGAAAATGAGCCCTCTTGAGTGTTCAGTACCAACTTCTTGATGGCAGTCACTGAGCAGTCTCCATTCTGCTCTGTAGGTGCAGGCCCAGGTGATCCAGGAGACGGTTGTTCCAAAAGAACCACCTCCAGAGTTTGAGTTCATCGCAGATCCACCCTCGATTTCTGCCTTTGATTTGGATGTGGTGAAGCTGACAGCGCAGTTTGTGGCTCGGAACGGGAGGCAGTTCCTGACTCAGCTGATGCAGAAGGAACAGAGGAACTACCAGTTTGACTTCCTTCGCCCGCAGCACAGCCTCTTTAACTACTTCACAAAGCTGGTTGAACAGTACACAAAGGTACTCGTGGCAGTGCACCTGTCAAGTTGATTTCTTCAGCAGCACTCTTGATTTTGAAGACTACTGATGCCCTAAAAAAACAGCTGGGCTAGAAATACATACAGGTCTAGGAATCCATCCCTTAAAATTGCCCTTTAAAAAGGATGGATCTCTTGGAACTTGTTGGCAACATGCAGCACTGAACACTCTGGGTTGTTACTTAAGAATATCAAACACTAAAGCAATATAAATAAATTCAAGAAGTGGCATTTTTTAAAGTACTGAGTGTAGATAGAGCAAGAATGAGTAGTTTAACTGCAAGTATGATGATTGACTAGACTGGAGAGACAGGATATAGCCACAGAATTCTCTACTATTATTAACAATATGGAAAGAGAATAATTACTTTTAAGATTTTGGCAAAAAGTAGTCATGAACTGTCCTGAATGTGTTTCAGATCTTGATCCCACCAAAAGGCTTACTCATCAAACTCAAGAAGGAGGCTGAAAATCCCAAAGAAGTCCTAGATCAGGTATTACATGAATAACTCTCAAAATTCTGAAGCATTTCAGTTATGTGTTGAATTCTGTCTCTGCATACATCTAATTTGTTGTCTATGAATTCCTTGCTGTGAATCTTCAGCAGGACCTAATGTGTCATATCTGGCTTGGTCTTGACTCAAGAGGTCCACATTTCCAGCTTTAGAAAGCCACTTTATGAGGCTGGTGCAGTTCTCTTTCTACATAAATTACATTAATTTTTTTGCCCACCTGATCTCCAAAGCAGTCCTTGTATAAATATCTTGAAGAGGCTTTTAGGATAAATTTTAGACACTATAGAGATTATTGTTACGTATTTTTGGTGTGACATTTGGTGCTAACTCTGAGTCTGCCTGTACAGGTGTATTACAGAGTGGAGTGGGCAAAGTTCCAGGAGCGAGAGAGAAAGAAGGAAGAGGAAGAGAAGGAGAAGGAACGTGTTGCTTATGCTCAGATTGATTGGCATGACTTTGTGGTTGTGGAAACAGTGGACTTTCAGCCCAACGAGCAAGGTACTGAAGAGAGGCATTGTAGCCTCGTGAAACTACTTCCTCTGAGTACAGTGTTGGTTTTAGAAAGATGTGGGGTTTTACAGCTGTATAGCCTTCAAAATGAAAAGGAAAGCTTCTTAATGATGGGGTAGGGCTGGATTTTTTATTATCATTATTTATTTATTTATTTATTTTGGAATCAAGTAGTGTTCTGTGGCAGTGTCTGCTTTTCTGTCTCAAAACAGGACAGCAAAACTTGTCCCGCTTTCTGGTGGTGCTTTCACCTTTAAGTAACTTCATCTCCAGGTGCTGTTATAATGTTGGTCATGATGGAGTTTAAAACAGAATGAGCATATACCTTAGCTTGCAGGAGCTTTTGTTACCCCTGTTTTATAGAAAAACTATTTCTCAAAAAACTGGTATTTCTTTCTTCCCATTGCCCAATCAAATGGGATCAAGAAACAGGAGCTGTGTTTTTTTGCACTGTAGGGAATTTCCCACCTCCCACCACTCCAGAAGAGCTGGGAGCTCGAATCCTCATCCAGGAGCGCTATGAGAAGTTTGGGGAAAGTGAGGAGGTAGAGATGGAGGTGGAGTCAGATGAAGAAGATGAGAAACAAGAGAAAACAGATGAGCCTTCGACTCAACTGGATCAAGACACACAGGTGCAGGATATGGATGAGGTAGGTAGCCAACAGAATTGGCATTATTCTTGCCCTGTGAGATTTGCTTGGGGTTTATTATGGTCTTCATTGTAGTACATTTCTCAGTATATTGAGGGAATGAGATTTCCTTTCTTCTGATTGAATTTCAAAATGACTTGTTTCTGCTGAAATATTGGATTATGTTATATTTAATATTTTCCGTGGTGATACAATTTACAAGAGAAATCTGGGAATTCAGTCACTCAGTGAATTGATATGAATTTATTTCTGTCATCCAGTCTTCTGAACTTTTCTCACACACTAGGGTCTGGAATGTTGAAAAGATGACTCATTTTAGACTCTTCCTTTTAACCACTGCATATAAGCAGTTTTTCTGTTAGCAAGAAACAAGATCATCAAGGCTAACCGTAAGCCCTGGCTTGCCATGCTGCGGTAATGTGGAAGCTGAGGCTTACTTGCTTCCTTTTTTGGGTCTGCTTAGTTTTTGAATTCGTGATTACCCAAAGGAACCACTGTAGTAGAGGTGTCGAGAGGCAAATTAGCTCAGTTACTTTGAATGTGCATAATCAGTCCTTGTAGTTTTGCATAGGATTTTTTATGCCTCTCTAAAGTCTTTTGTGGGAGTATTTGACTACTGGAGCATGGTTTTGATTTTCTTTCTTTAAATCAGGGCTCAGATGATGAAGATGAAAGTCAGAAAGTTCCTCCTCCTCCAGAAACTCCGATGCCACCACCTCTTCCTCCCACACCAGATCAGGTCATTGTGCGGAAAGACTATGATCCCAAAGGTAAATCAAGCTGGCAAAGATCAGCTGTATTTCTTAATGAATAATCACAAAGCTGTTTGTTTCTAGGCTGCATCCTCTGGTGGTCTGCTTTTAACAGTGTGGTTTTGTTCTTCCAGCTTCAAAACCGTTGCCGCCTGCCCCAGCTCCAGATGAGTATCTTGTTTCCCCCATCACTGGGGAGAAAATTCCTGCCAGTAAAATGCAAGAGCACATGAGGATTGGTCTGCTGGATCCTCGATGGCTGGAGCAGCGCGATCGCTCTATCCGTGAAAAACAGAGCGATGATGAAGTCTATGCCCCAGGTCAGCTTGTGCATCTGACAAGGCTTGCAAGTTCCTCTTCCTAAATTCCTTCTGTGAACATTTTGGCGTGTCTCTGCTTCCCCAAGTTCCTGCTGATAGGGACTATCTTAAATGTAGCTTTCTGTCTTATGTCCTTAGTATACTGATTACACTGATACTTTTGTTGCTAGTACATTGAAGCCCTTCTGCAAAGATAAAGGCAGAGAGCATTAGCTGCTGCTGGCCAGTCCTCAGTTGCAGTCTCTTTCTGAAAAGAGCAGCTCTAGGCCATTAGGTAGCAAGTAGTATTAAAGATCATTTAATCAAGGATCAAGTCTCTTTTTATCACTTAATGGAAGAATTTTTTCTTGCTTGCAGGTTTGGATATCGAAAGCAGCTTGAAGCAGCTGGCAGAGCGCCGTACCGATATCTTTGGTGTGGAAGAAACTGCCATTGGTAAGAAGATTGGTGAAGAGGAAATTCAGAAACCAGAGGAAAAGGTAGAGTGGAAACTGCTTTAATAGGTTCTTGTAGTACTGTGAAGGCTCAGGATTCTTTTTGACCTTGTTACTGGTGTAAAACTGCTGTTCTGATCTGTCTGTAGTTCTTAGCATAGTCTGCTCAGGCTGGGGTTGTTCTGATATCTTTTTATCCTGACAGGTGACCTGGGATGGCCACTCAGGCAGCATGGCCCGTACACAACAGGCTGCTCAGGCCAATATTACTCTTCAAGAGCAAATTGAAGCTATCCATAAGGCCAAGGGACTGGTGCCAGAAGATGACAGCAAGGAGAAGATTGGTCCCAGCAAACCCAATGAAATGCCCCAGCCACCCCCTCCTTCGTCAGCATCGAATCCCCCTCCGAGTGCTCAGCCTATCACTTCTGTGCCTCGTCCACCCACAGTAAGTGCTGGGGCTTCCATAAGTAAAGCAGCTGTGACCATGGATAATTGGAAGGGAATCCTGACAAAGATCCAGGGTTATAGCAGGGCACTGGCTAGAAACAGATTTTGAGAGAAGTTAGCATTCCAAACTGCTTTTAAGCCTTCAGAACATCCCTATTGAACTTGCAGTTAAAAACTGAAAATAAGATATAGGTGGAGTTTTTAATCCTTAGCTGTATCAAGAAGACTCAATGGGTTGCACAGGGGAAGAGCCTGGGTGGTGACACTTTGGGGAGGAAAGTATGGCTAACAAATGAATGGGTTGGGACCTCTTTTTTTTTTAAACATATAAATAAGACATGATGTGGAAAAACTAAGAAGTGGCAAGTAAGAAATGTTCACAGATGACTCTCTGCCATGTTCTCCTGGAGTAAGGGGTTTGCTTACTGCTTCTCTAAGGTCTCCACATGTCTCACAGTTCCTGAGTGGTGAGGGAAGGAAGAACTGCTTGATGTGTTAATGAGGTTCTGTGCCTGTTTGCAGGAAGCTGGGACTGCCATACGGTGGGCTTGTTAAGGCTCCCAGCAGGTCTTTGCCTAGCAGAAATCCTCACTGTGTTGCCCTGGTGATTTTAATTTAATCAGAACTGTGGGCAGCACTGGGATGCTCATTCCTGCATGCACCTGCTAAGAAAAAATGACCTTCTCTCTGCAGATGCCTCCTCCTGTTCGTGCTGCTGTTGTTTCTGCAGTTCCTGTCATGCCTCGTCCCCCGATGACCTCCGTGGTCCGTTTACCTCCAGGGTCTGTCATAGCCACCCCCATGCCACCAATAATCCACACCCCACGAATCAATGTTGTCCCCATGCCACCATCTGCTCCTCCCATCATGAGCCCTCGCCCACCTCCCATGATAGTACCAACAGGTCAGTGACTTCAGCTTTTTCCAGTTAATTGTCAGTTGATTCCTGTCTAGTGTGGGTTTGAGGCTTGATTCCTTTTTCCCTCTTTGTAATAATGGTGTATAATTGGCACTGAAAAAGTATAAATCTCTTCTTTAAGGATATTTTTTTAATGTTTAGTGTGACTTAAATGGTAGTCTGGCTTCTGGGATCAAGTCATCTGCTCCAGCATGGGAGTTCTGTCTCGGTGGGATGCTTTATCTTAGTGTCCCTGAGAGCCTGACTGGGTGAACACTACAAATTCATGCAACTTTCCAAGTGGATCTGCCAACACCTTGCTGAGTGTTACAGTTTGTTAGGGAAGTTGCAGCTGCCAGAGGAAAAGCTGTTATCTGGCTCTGGCTCTGTTCCTTGTAGTGGCTTCATAGCATTGTGGTGGTTTTAAATTAAGAAGCACAACATAAAAACACTTCTGTCTTGGTTTTTTTTTTTCCTTTTCCTTTTTATTTAAATTGAGGTGCTGGCACTGCTCTACACTAAATTCAGAGCATTTTCTGTTTTGCAAGATCTGCAGGAAGCTCCCATTCTGCTTGTTGTTTTTTCCTGGACTCTTTCCCATTGTGGAAGATATGATGTTTGAAGTTGGCTATATTAACTTCTTGCATGAATGGTGGCATTAATTTTCAGTCTTTATTAGTCTGCTAAAAGAACTCGTGTAAAGGAGTATCTGCTGTATTCTCAGTGGATGACTGTGTGTTGTGCTTTCCCTCATCCCATTCCAGCATTTGTTCCAGCACCTCCCGTGGCTCCAGTTCCTTCCCCAGCACCAATGCCTCCTGTTCACCCACCACCACCTATGGAGGATGAGCCAGTTTCAAAGAAACTGAAGAGTGAGGACAGCTTGATTCCAGAGGAGGAGTTTCTGCGCAGGAACAAGGTAAGTGTGTGAACTCTCTGCTTGTTGAGAACTGGAGTCCTGGCCCTGCTGGGCTGTTCAGCCCCCTGTGCTCAGAGGGGTTGTAAAGTCCATTGAGAACACAGAGGGGAGCTGATGTGTAAGTATTTCAAAAGAAAGTAACTTCCTACTGTCCTACCTGAGTAAACTGAACCTCCCTGTGTTTTACTAGAAGGAGCAATGTAATGCTGCACACAGATGGTGCTCTTCTGTAATTAAGGACAGTGAGATGTAGGGTTATAGTAATGTAAAGAAGAGATAATGCTGATAAGCTTTTAAGTAGAGGACTGCTAAGCTAGAGGTGCAAGGAGATTTAATATATCAGTGTCAGCATGGTAGTATGGCAATGTCAGATCTTCCATAACATGATTGAAATGTTAGACTGAATTCCTTTCTGAGTAATGGCATCGTGTTGGGTTGGGACTTAAGCCCTTTAGGAAGGGAGTGCTGTTCTCCTGAACATTGTTTGCATCATGAAGCCATTTCTTTAATACTGTATATGTTCACTCCAAAATACTCTATCTGTGATGCATGGTGAGTAGCCCACAAAAAGAGAGACTAATGGGAGAAATCCAAGTTAAGGTTTTGTTATGGTAACAGTGAAATGACTTTCTCAGCATTGAGACAAATAACATTTCTGTATTCACTAGGAATTCAAGGTATGTGATTAGTATTGGGAAGGTCTATAAATGCTTTGTCTGTTGCTCTTATCACAGTCCTGAGACTCCTTGCCTGTGAGAGACCTTATCATTATTTCCCTTAGGGCCCAGTCACAGTCAAAGTCCAGGTCCCCAACATGCAGGACAAGACTGAATGGAAGCTGAATGGCCAAGTGCTGGTGTTCACTCTGCCACTTTCAGACCAGGTATGTAGCTTATTAACTCAGCCTTTGCCCCTTCCTTTGTTCTTGTGGAGTGTTTTCATGCTGAGAGTAGTGGTTGACCTGCATGACAGGAGCTGTAAAATTCTGGATGTTTCCCACACTGTAGTTTCTTGCCAGGCAGGGTTGTGTGGTAGAGGTCTTGATGTTGGCCTTCTGTATAGAAGGAAAAGATCTGAACAAGGTTTTTGTTTTTTCCTAGGTGTCTGTTATAAAGGTTAAGATCCATGAGGCCACAGGGATGCCAGCTGGGAAACAGAAGCTGCAGTATGAGGTGGGTATAAGCTCTGCAACGTTGTTTGTATTACAGTGCTTTCTCACACTAAAATGGACTTTGTTTAAAGAAAAGGTTGTACCACTAAGATACAGGAAAGAGCAGAGGGAATGGATTTTTTTGCCTGTGCAGCACACTGTTTCATTACTGTGCACTGTTGGTGCAGGACAGGCTTCTAATAGTGGCATCAGTACAACTTCACTTTGTCACTGTTGAAGATGAGGTCTCAATGCTTGATGGCATTCTCTGAAATTCAGCCTATTTTTTGGAAGGACTTCTTGGTTGGAGTTTGTTTGTTTGCTTTTAAATGCAGCAGCTTACTCTTGTTTTGTAATGAGCTCGAGAGGTGAGCAACAGTACGTTGAAACCCTGGAAGCTCTGAAACAGTGAAGGGAGGCAATTTCTTGAGTCTGGTGCTTTTATATAGGCACTGCTCCTTTTTAGTAACTTGTTCTCAGTCATGCATGTGCACAGCTCAACCTGCTGCCTAAGCAGTGAACTTTGAGCTCTTACCTCCTTTGGAATTAGTCTATGGGCAGATAATGTTAACCCTTAGCAAGAAGTAAAGCTTAACTAATTTTGTAAAGAACAAAAAAGGGGAGGAGGGGATCTAAATAGCTTCATTTGTGACTGATTTTATTTGTCTGTTTGTAGAGAGCAATTGTGTATCATCTGGCTATGCTCTTTTGTAATCCCCAGCATACCTACCTCTTCCAGTGCCAGTTTTGAGACACTGGGATCTCTCCAGGTGTTTTCAAAGCCTGCAGCACTTGTCATCACCCTGTTTTGAGAGTAGTGTTAGGAGGGCTTTGTCTACCTGTGGCTTTGTGGGAATGGATCGTTAACGTTTCTACTGTGACTGTCTTTTTTTTTTTTTTTGTGTCTTCCCCACAGGGCATCTTCATCAAGGATTCAAATTCCCTGGCTTATTACAACATGACAAGTGGCTCTCTGATTCACCTGGCACTCAAAGAAAGAGGAGGCAGAAAGAAATAGGAGCTCTGGAGTCCAGAGATGTAACAGGGCTGCTTTACCACTTGTGTAACCCCAGCCATTCAAATCCTCCAGCCTCTTAGGGGCTGTGTGGCAAGCTGTAGACTGCCTACCAATGCTAGATTAGAAGGGGAGACAATGAACCCATACCTGTGGCTGATAAGAGGGGGAAGCTGAAAGAGCCCTGAAAGCTGTGTACATGTAGTGAGCTAGTATGTAGTTGCAGTCTGTTAGTGATCAGTGCTTAGCTAGAATGATGTCCAGGTTTGCTGTCTCTACAGTGAATTTCCTAGTGAAGCAACATTGAGGTCATGCCCAGCTTAGTCTAGATCCATCTTTATTTGAGGGATTTTCTGACCAAGAACATCATCTGTCTGACTACAGTATTTGCTGCTTCACTTAACCTTTTTTTTCCCTAATTGAAAATTTATTTCTTTATATACTTAGTAAGCTCTTTGTTCTTTCTGTCTCATATCTATCTGCAAGAGCCTCTTGCACTGACCCTGACTTGGAGTTTTATCCTCTCAGTATGAGTGTGCATGGCTCTCCATTGTGATAAAGGAGATCTGGGGCTGCATGCTAAGCAGCTTCATGCTTGTTCTGTACAGCCTGTGATTTGTTTTAATAAACATGCATCTCAGTGCAGGATCCTGTTTGTGGCAGCTCTCATTCTGTGGGATTTAGGCTTTTTGGATGGACTTCGTTCACCCTGGTCTTAAATATGTTATGGGGAAATGCTGGCTTTCATAATCAAAGGTTTATTCTAGGAAATGCTTGCATTTCATACAATAGGCTGCAAGAAAAGGATTTTGTTAATTTCCTTAGTGCTACAGTTATTCCTGAGCATAACACAGCTGTGTGTTGCAGTGTCTGTGTCCATGTATGGGTGTAGAGAGAAGATTTTGAGCCTAAACCTAATCAGTGAGAATTCTCTTGGAAATCGTGTCTTATCCTTTCTGTCCTGCAGTTAGCATCTCTTGGTCCTGGGGAGCTATAGGTCCAGAAAATAGATCAGAGCTGTACTGCAGTTTGATACACACAGCACAAACACAGTGAGGCTGAGTTAAGCTACACGTAGGCGACCAAAGAAGGTTGGTTGTCTGTTGCTGCCCCTGTCACAGCAGCCCTGTGATTTGGGCACCTCTGCTCTTTTGGGACAATCCGAAACCATGGGTTGTTTTTTTTTTTGGGGGGGAAGGGGTGTGGAGAGAGGTGCTCAGGCATTACAGGAATATCCTGTTTACCTTACTTTGTGCTCAGGGGAGAGGGTGATGAAGCAGGAGGGAAGAGACAACATCCCACACCCCGCTCAGTGCTCCCTGCTTCCAGGCAGCTGAGGAAGCACGGTGCTGTCAGAGGTGCCTGGCACCAGCCCAACACAGGTGGCTGTGGTTCTGCTCCCAGCTGACAGCTGCCCACATGTCCACACCAACACAGCCTGCTCCTCTCGGTGCTGCAGGATGCTGAATTACCACCGGCACAAGTCAGGAGGCTGTTGGGGTGGGAGGTGGATGTGCTGCTGCCCTGCAGGAAGGCGTGCTGTAAGTACTTTCCTTTTGCACTTCAAAGCTAGACAATAGTTGGGTAGGGTCCTTAAGAGAAAACTAAGAGAAAACTTAACTGGGGCGATGCAGCTTGGAGTCATTGCAGCACAAAGGTTTGCTGAAAGCAGCGTGCACACAACTAACTAGTGAGTTTCCCACAGCTGCTAGAAACTGCAAAGAAAGCTTCAAAATGGAGAAGTCTCATTTCTGCATCCTGCACAGGACCCGAGCATCATGGGACTGCATTTAAGGTCACCCAGCTCTTCTCTCTCTGGCAATTGGTGCCAACGGCGTTGTGCAAGAGCCTGCTCCTCCCGTGCCGTGCTTTCCTCGATGGCTGGGCTGCATGCTGCTGCTCGGCTGACATTCCCAGCCTCCAGCAGCACCAAGCCCCGTTTACGAGCCTGGCAGGGCTGTGCTCCGGCAGGAAAACCCGCCGCAGGCTCTGTGCTGAAGCGCTGGAAATAGCTCACGTGGAGCCCTGCCAGCAGCGAGCCAATCTAAGTAGTACAGATAAACGTTGTAGCAGACTGTCCGTGTGTATCTTGCCTACAAAACAACTGCTATCACAGCCTGCCACTTCGGTGGGAAGGACCTGCGGTGCAGCATGCCAGAAAAATCTGGAAAGGGGTCGATGTGCTGAGCTGTGTGCTGGGTTCTTTGGTGATTTGTCCCCCTCTGTCAAGGGTCCTCGTGAACAAATCTCTACTTTTTCTTTTTCTTTTTTTTTTTTTTGCTGTTAGGAGGAAATCAAGCCCTGGGTGGAGGCAGCGCTGCTCTGGCTCACGGTGAGAGAAGGGTTGGGTTGCAGGGCTGGGGGCTGCAGGTGTGGCCCAGCATGAGCTGGGGCAGCTCCCCAGTGTCACCCAGTGCTGGGCTGGGCCCTGCTGCACCCATCGGGCTTTATTTTTAGCACGGCCCGGCCAGTTCTACCTGCACAAGGTGCTGGCAGCTACTCTGGTGTGGGACAGTGGTTGTGCTGGGCGGCTGTGAGCACAGCCCCTCCCTCCTGGCCAGGGACTGGTGGGGTCCTGGAGCTCCTGGAGTGGACCCAGGGAAGGCCCAGTGCCCCAGCATGGGGTAACACTGCAGTGCCTGTGGGCTCAGCATTGGCCCCATGAAGCCAGGGTTGGCTCAGCCAGGGTCCAGCCCTGTCCCAGTGCCTCCAGTTCCCTTCCAGCCCCCTGCCCTCAGCCCTCCTCTCCCTCGTGCACTCCCCGTGCCCCACGCTCAATCTCAGCACCCTCAGCTTTGTTCCAGTGCCCCCACTTCAGCCCTAATGGCCCCATGCTCTCCCAGTACCATCCAATTCCCCCCCAGTCCTGTCCCAGTTCCTCCAGTCCCATCCTAATGCCTCCCAGTTCCACTCCAGTCGACTCGCACTGCCCCATCCCCGTACCCCCAGCCCTCTCCCAACGCCCCCATCCCATCCTTCTGCCCCCTGCCCCCCCCCACCGCCCCCCGCCCCCCTCTCTGCCACTACCGGGCCCGGAGGAGGTGGACGGCGCTCTGACTGACAGCTTGCCCGCACTTCTCACCCAATCCCTTCTCCGCGTGGGCGGGCCCTCGCTTCCACACTTCCCTCCGATTGGCCGAGTCGCTTCTCCCGCCTCCTCCCCCTCGTCTCACCCAATAGCGGGGCGGCGCCGGGGCGTGGCGGGCGGCGAGGGGCGTGGCCGCCGCCGTGGCCGCGGCATGGAGGAGCGGCCGCGCCGCCGCTGAGCCGCCGCCATGGCCAAGAGCCGCGGGGGCGGCGGGCCCGGCTCGCCCGGCAGCGCCCGGGGTTTGGCGGGCACCCGCGAAAGCCTGGCGGAGGCGGGCGGCGACGAGCTCAGCTCGCTGGGCTCCGACTCGGAGGTGAACGGCGGCCCCGAGGAGCGCCGCGTCGATAAGTTCGGCTTCATCGTGGGCAGCCGCAGCGCCGAGGGAGCGTGAGTGGGGCCGGGCGGGGGGACCGGGCTGCGCGGAGGGAGAGCGCGGGGGGAACCCGCTGGGAGACCCGCCCGGAGATCCGCCCGGCCGCTCCCCGCTGCTCCCGGCCCTCCTCCCGCCGCCGCCGCCCGGCCCGGGCCTCCCTTCGCCTTCCGCCCTCCGAGGCCTGCGGCTCTGCCCGCCGTCCGCCGCCGGGGATGACCCGGCTTCTGCGGGAGCCCCGCGGCTCCCGGCCCCTCCGTCGTGGCGGGGCGGCGCGGCACGGCGGGCCCGGCCCGGGGCGCGGCGCTGCGGGTGGCGGCCCCGCGGTGCGACGGACCGCGCTGCGCCGGGACGGGACGGCGATTCCCGGTGCGGGCGTTGGGCCGGCGGTCAGCGCTACGGCTGCGTGCCCGGGGCGGGTGACAGCTGCGGGACACCGGCTGTGTCCGTCCGTCTGTCCTCCGGTACGCCGGCTGCTCCCGTCGGGCGGCATCCATCCAGGACGGGCCGCAGAGCTGCTCCGGCTGCACCCACCCGGAGCGTTCCGGCAATAGAGACGCCGGGAAGGACCGAGCTGTCATCCCGCGGCTGTCCCCGTGGCACCCGTCCCTGCGTGTTGCCCGCTGCCGGCTTGCTGTCGGCTGCTAACGGCTCCCAGCCGTGCTGGCACGGCACCAGCAGGCAATGGGCCAGCCCAGCATCCAGCATCCAGCATCCCTCCCGCTTCCCACGCCTCTCCGAGCCCCACGCTCCCCACATCGGGGCTGCCTGTCCCCGTGCTGATGGTCCCTGTGCTGGGAGAGCCCTTCGGAGCCGATTGAAGGCTGCACAGAAGTGATCTTGCTTGGCCCTGTCTGACCCTGGGTGGAACCTCGTGAGGCACCATTGGGATGGGGCTGCCCGGAGATGTGGCACCAGACAGACCCTACAGGGACAAGCTGACCCCACAGAGGGGCTGTGCTAGCACACAAACACTGGCAGGCAGCCCCTTTGGGTTATCCATCAAAGCTAAGCGCTGCAGGAAAACATTCTGCTCCTTTGTGGGAGCCTGGGGACGGGTGGCCTCTGGGATGTTGGGTATGGGGCTTGCAGTCATTCCGATGTCCCTTTGTCCTGCAGACTGGAGGAGGTTCCCCTGGAGGTGCTGCGGCAGCGTGAGTCCAAGTGGTTGGACATGCTCAACAACTGGGACAAGTGGATGGCCAAAAAACACAAGAAGGTGAGTGCCCGCCTGCTGTCTCCATGCAGCAGGGAGGGACAGCTGCGTGCAGCAGCATCCCAGTGAGACTTGAGTGCATCCCACACGTCAGCAGGTCCCCACAATTGTGTTGCCCTTGGGTGATGCTGTTGGCTCAGGTGGGCTGTTCCCCTTCCAGCCCGGCTGCTGCTGCTGCTCACGGCTGCTCCCTGCCGGGCTGCGGCTTCCCAGAGCTGGCTTGGCTGCCTGTGTGCAGCCATGGGAATTGTTAGGTCATGGAAACTTCTGCTCTGAGCATCTTGCAGGCTGAAAACAAAACAAAAAAAAAAAAGGCAGAAAAGGCCGTGGGTAGGAAATGGTGGAGGCTGATGTGCGGGGTGCAGCCTGTGAACTGGGGCAGGGCAGGAGACTCAGTCGGTGCAGGGCTGCTTTGGTGCTCCCCAACCTCCTGAGGGTGTGAATGGAGCAGGGATGGAATGCAGGGCGCTGCTGTGCCTCTGGCAGAGGTGGGGAGGGCTGGAGGGTGGCATAACCCTGACGTGCCATGCCCCTACTTGGAGCTCTGTGGCACTCCCTGGGCACCACTCGGTGCCTGGTGACCCGCAGAGGAATCCCTCGTGTGCTTCTTGGCTGCTTGCAAAGGGTTGCTGAGAGCTTTTGGGGACGCGGCAGGCGGGTGCTTTGTTTCTGCCCATGCTGTGCACTGCTCTCTGCGTGCTTTCCAGGCTCTGGTGAGTGCCCAGCAGCTGTGCTGCTGGCAAACTGCTCCCTCGTGCTCAGGCTGAGCTCCAGGAGGTCCCCACGGAGCTCCATGCGCTCTGTCCTTCAGTACAATCAGAGCCTGGAGCCTCAGAGGGCTGCTCCAGAGAGCTGCTCTGTGCTCAGGCCCTGCAGCCGGATGGCTCGTTCGCACCTGCACTTCTCCACTATGCTGAAATGGAGCTGTCCTGGCTCAGATCCCACCAAGCTGAGCGGTGCCAGTGCTGCGTGCT